CCTCTGACAGACCCACCCTCTGAGAGACCTGCCCTCTGACAGACCCTCCCTCTGACAGACCTGCTCTGACAGACCCTCCCTCTGAGGGACCCACCCTCTGACAGACCTGCCCTCTGACAGACCCTCCCTCTGAGAGACCCTCCCTCTGAGAGACCCGCCCTCTGACAGACCCTCCCTCTGAGAGACCCTCCCTCTGACAGACCTGCCCTCTGACAGACCCTCCCTCTGACAGACCCGCCCTCTGAGGGACCCACCCTCTGACAGACCTGCCCTCTGACAGACCCTCCTCTGACAGACCCTCCCTCTGACAGACCCGCCCTCTGAGGGACCCTCCCTCTGACAGACCCTCCCTCTGAGGGACCCTCCCTCTGACAGACCTGCCTCTGACAGACCCTCCCTCTGACAGACCCGCCCTCTGAGGACCCACCCTCTGACAGACCCTCCCTCTGAGAGACCCTCCCTCTGACAGACCTGCCCTCTGACAGACCCTCCCTCTGACAGACCCGCCCTCTGAGAGACCCACCCTCTGACAGACCTGCCCTCTGACAGACCCTCCCTCTGACAGACCCTCCCTCTGACAGACCCGCCCTCTGAGGGACCCTCTCTGACAGACCCTCCCTCTGAGGGACCCTCCCTCTGACAGACCCTCCCTCTGAGGGACCCTCCCTCTGACAGACCCGCCCTCTGAGGGACCCTCCCTCTGACAGACCCGCCCTCTGAGGGACCCACCCTCTTACAGACCTGCCCTCTGACAGACCCTCCCTCTGACAGACCCTCCCTCTACCATCATCCAAATCTGATTTAGATATCAGCTCCACAACCTGCAGGTTTTCTTTAAATTATGTCCTGAACTTCAGTCTTACACCAGAAACATGGAACAACTGATTTAATCTGTTGTTAAATCTGTTAACATAATCCCAAAACCTACTGTTGCAACTGTTGGTGAAAATCTTAATGTGGCCAGTGATGCATGATGGCGACTCTAAAGGATGGATGCGTCACGTTGAAGCCAAACGAAGAGCTGCGATCCAGAGTGGAGGCTGCGAGAAATTTAATATTAAAAACGACCAACGAAAACCAAGTCAGACAAACAAACTGAGATGGAGGAGAGTTCACTCAGGAGAAACAGGAAAGGTGAAGTGAAACTGAGGGCTTTATCTGTTCAGAGAATAAATGCGGGACATGAGAACCAGGCGTCATTAATCAGGGCAACGTGGTGCAGCTGGGGAAGAAGCAGATCAGGGGAAACTAAACCAATGTAACACAGAAAGGAGGCTGTATGCTCTGAAACAAAGCATTAAAGGATGTGTTAACCAGAAGAGGAAAAGACCTAATTAAGAGTTCAACCTGACTGAAGAGAACAAAACAGCCGTGCTTTTATTGGACCCCACAGCATCCTGACAGTTTTAGTTCAGTTTTTCCGTCCTGATTGAACCACTGTGTCAGCACTGAAATGTTTCATCTGCCAGAAAGAATTTCCTCTATTATTATTAATAATTTAGCTTTTTGACTGCTAAGCCAACACATGGAATCCAGCAGGGCTCTATTCTTGGCCCTCATTTATTTTCAGTTTATATTATAACACTTGGAGTTGTTAAAACTCATCACCAGTTTCCATCCACCGCTATGCAGATGATCTACAGATCTACCCGTCTCTGTTGCTGTCTGGTGGTTCTACTGCTGTTAAGGCCGTAAAGACCAGAATTAGTTGTTTTTAGACAAACACAGAATTAATTTATTATTACAGACATCACTGCTTCAGCTTTTATTCTGACAAAATGGGTCAAAAAGTTTTACATTTGAAAGTCAGATTGATTCTGCTGTGCATCTATTTATTTGCTGCTAAATTTCCTTCAGCTCATCCAAACTTCAGCCAGGTGTCCTTTAGCTAAAGCCTCCCAACGTGTCCACCTAACTCAGCTTCTGTAAGAATTGATTTGAAACATTTGGCACCTCCTTGTTTTTCTGACCCTTCAGGTGTTTGTGTGGCTGGAGGAGCTGCAGGTTTTGGAGGTTGCACTCAGGCTCTGAAGCCTGCTACATTTGGATCTTCAGTAAAGTCTTTTAATGCTTTTTAACATGAAATTTACTTTTCTGGGATCTTTTTAATGTTCTGATTTAAGTGCTTCAGTCTCTGAAGTTGGGTTTTTGAAAGCTTTGCTTTGCTCTTTGAGTCTTACTGCTAGTCATGAATGTTACAGATTTTGTGATGTTTCGTTGGTTGACCTGTAGGTGGCACTGTGTACAATGGAGCAACTTGCGTGGAAATGTCCTCATACAAACAGAAGAAGTAACTGTAAAATACCATTACACTGTACTAATCACCATGCACAAAAGAGTTGACGGTATGTTGGTTAATTCAAAACACTTAGTAGAGAATGTTTAATATCCAGATACTATATGATATCCTAATAAAAACAAGACATCATTAGTATTTCCTAGCTGTATTTTCTAGCTCAGTTGTCCATAACACAAATGAAACATCACACGCATCAGCGGTAACTCTCCACCGGCGCTCCAGTCCAGAAAGACGTCAAGAAGTGTTTGAAAGAATCATTACCATCTGCCCTTTCTCCAGCTATTCCCCAACCAAGACTTGAACTCCTTTGAACTCAGCTGACATTTTTCACAGAAGGAGGGAGACATTTGATTTCTAATTGTGATACAGATCATAAATGGCATGCAGTTTGCCCAGGGGTGTGTTTTGTGAAGTTCTGTATCTCAACGTGTGAGACGATTTTTAGATTTGTAGTGTTCCTATGAGAGCTGAGGGGATTTCAGGTGATAGAAATCAGTGACATTTAAAGTCTCCATAATGAGTAAAAGGTGAGTAAGAATAATAAAAAAAGAAGACATTGAGTGAGCAGGAAAGCAGAGTCATATTTGGCTGCAGGGCTGTCCGCTCTTGTTCAGGCTCTTTAAATGATGCAGCCTGGTGCTGCTGCTGCTGGAAACAGCTTCTCTAAAAACACCTAAAATGATATCTATTTCAGTCAATAATTTGCTCCTCTTTAAGGATCAAGTTTAACAATCTGAATGAAACCCACTGCTTTCTAATGAGTCAACATGAGGGAAGCCTCTGTAACTTTCAGATGCATCCCATGAATGTCTGGTTTCCAGGTCTGTGCAGAGCTGGGTGACTGAATGCTGATGAGGGGAGGCTCGTTAGAATCAGCTGTGTTGGAGAAATGGCATGATAGTATCTCTGGAGGACTGGACAGAGGCACAGCTCATCTATTTATTGCATTGGTTTCATATTACTAAAATAATTGAACTTGGTGTTGATATTCTGGCAGCTGTCAACCTTCTTTGTATCAGAGGTATTTTCTGTTTAAGTTCAAATTTAGTCTATTTTGAAATGCAGTTGATTTTGTTGTTTGCTGGATGTGAGGAGATTCACTCAGAGGGTCAGTGGGGGGCCGCAGCCGCGCCCAGCTGTCACCAGCCAAAGACGGGACGCTCCGCCGACAGGCCAGCGGTCCATTACCGGGCCAGCGGTCCATTACCGGGCCAACACAAGGAGACACCAGGTAAACAGCCAAGCACAAACACAATCCTCTGCTCAATTCTGAATCCCCAGTTAAACTAAACGTTTTAGACTATTGGGGAAATTCGGCTCCTGGAAGAAAAAAACATTGACATGGAGAAAATTTGGAAATTCCCAGCTGGGATCTCCAGTCAAGACTCACATGGCGCCTTCTTTCCTGCTGAGCCTGCTCTGTAATTTAGCTGCTGTTTTCACTGGATTGATCTTGTGTCAGTCTATAAATATGAATCAGTGCAATTAAACTCAGAACTAGATTTGATATGAGTTACTTTTAGGGGATTTGTTTAAATGGAGGGATTCAGGATACTTGGCTTCCTCTCTGTCTGTTTATGATAAATTTCTTGAAACGGTTCTTGGTGCTCAGAGTTAAAAGGTGATCCAAAGCTTTGGTTCGACTTATGAAAACATTGGACAAGATGGTATTGATAGATTTTTATGTCTATTATTCCTGGCAGGGTCTCGGTTGCTGGCATGAAAAAAGGAGTGACTCCTTCTGACCAATCTTTAAAGAATTGCCCATCGATGCAGCTGCACTGAGCTGTGAAGACGCTTTCTGCTCGTTGCACCACTTCTGGCATCTTGAGGCGTCCAAGATGCCTCAGCCAATAACCAAAAACCAACAGGTTTCTAGCTGCACCCCAAGATAACAGCTGAGATTAAAAGAACAGAGTGGATGAGTAAAGTAGAAGAAAAGGAGAATTTTTTTGAAACGAGATAAAACAAAGTTAAAAGTGATGCAAATTTAATCTATAGGTCTTGACATTGTTAGACACCAGGACATAAATGTAAAGAAAACCTTCAAAATACATCCTTGCTCCCTTGTAGCTTTCCGTCAGAAACAAAAAGACAGGAAGGAAGTGGATGTCAACAGGTGAAGCTTTAAACCTTTGAATGTTAGACAACTAGAGCAGTATTATTATTTATATACATTAATTCAGCGATGGAGTCACATTGGATCCTGGTATGAAACCTCTTGAGATGCACAAGTTTCACTAGAAATGAAAACATTCCAGTCTTAAACTGAAAACTGCACCATGGTTTCTTTCTCTGTGATTGTCATTTACTGGCAGGGGAAGTGACAGAGACGCTCAATTACACACTTTGTACGTGTTGGCAGAGTATTCAGCAGCACTGTAATTAAGGCTGGGGTAAAAAGGACTCACTTGAAATGTCTACCCTGTTAAAACCATTTGAACACTGGAAAAGGTCACTGGGATGCAATTTCAACAAGATTTTTCCTGCAGACATGTTTCGTTTGAAGAATTTCTTTATATTTTGAAAGTCACTTTGTGACTGGTCTACTGCTTTTAAGTGTTCATTCCCTAAATAGATCTTTACTTTAAACAGTTTTTGGCACTTTTATGATCAGCTACCAAGCAAAACAACTTTGCATTCAAATAAATCAACTACAACTGATTCCGAACCTTTTCATGGCGAGCACAGTGGTGGCACCGTCATGATGTGGACTGAGCTGTGGAGAAGTGTGGCGGAGGCTGCAGAAGACTTGAGCCAGGGGTGAAAGTTCACGTCCAACAAGACGACCAACCAGAACGCTGCCCCTCCCTTTGACTGAGCTTCATCTGTTCTGAAAGCAGGAATCAGAAAAATGTGACTGTTTAGATGCAAAGTTAGTAGAAATATAACCCAGAAGACACACAGATGTAACAGTAACTAAAGATACAGCATATTTACTAGGGGGGATTATTACAAATTGCTGTTCATGGGTAAAACATGTTGCAAATCATGTTTCATTTCCCACTTTCCATTTATCTCTGAGTTGGTCGATCACACACAGTGGTTTGGTTGCAAGGGAGGAGCTCTGACTGTTGAAGCGTTTTAATGTGCAGATTCTGACGATGAGTTGCGAAGCTTCAAGCGTCTGCTGATCTCATTAAGGTTTCTTATTTCACTCGCTCAGTTTAACGGGTTCAGTAACATATCAAATCCAAATGTCAGCTTCTAATGAGGGGAGAAGAAAGCGCTTAAATATGGGATGGAGACACGAACATCAAGTCGGCAGCAGCTCTCTTGTTGTGTTGATCACAGTGACTTTGTTTGCATTCTGGAGCTGCTTTATTAAGACGTATCGCGCTCTCTGGTTTCATGATGCTGTAACTCTGGGGAGCAAATGGATGAATCATTTTTTTATGAACTGGTTCACAGTTTTATCTGGAAAAACAATCAGTGTTGCCTTTACATGTTCCACATCAGTACCATGACTCATCATGATACCGCTGCTTTGCTGAAATGAGAAATCAGGTTTTCCTGTGAATATTGTTTTATGATCTCAGCTTTTATCTCTCCTTCTATGCATTTCTGGGATCAATTCAGTAGTTTGCTCACCTTTAGGTCATCCTCTTATCAACTAGCTTGCATGTAAAACATCCTGTTGTGAGCTTAGAATATTCCTTTATCAGATTATTCCAAAATAAGTGTTTTTATTCCATCTCCAAAATATTCTTGTAGATTTAAATCTTTGTCTGTTGCTGGAGTCTTCCGGGTCCAAGGTTTTCTCATCAGTTTATCTCAAAAACACTTAAACCTGACAACCTTTTCATCTTAGTTTTTAAAAAATTAAGATGATTTCTTCATGTCTTAAGTTTTTATCTAGACCTCATCTATAATATCTGCTGCAGAAAAGCCTTTTATTTCAGTCTGATAGAAAGATGCAATGAGTCTTCTAACTTAAGATTTGAGATTACAGTGTACTAAATTCTGGTTGCATCTCAAGACCCACCGGTACCGTGACCTAATTTTATGCTAGCCTATACTATTGTTTGTGAAAGATTCCCCTCAGGATGCCGGATGCTTGAAACTGAAAGTGAAACTGTGAAATTGACCTACTGCGCCAATAATTTGACTAATAATTATTTGGTTTGAAATTAAGTAAGTTGATCCCTAAATATGCAAAAAAAACAAACAAACAAAAAAAAAAAAAACACGTTGTGTATCTCATTCAAATAACGCAGCAGCACACTGTGACTTTGACATCTTGGATCCTGACATATTGCACTTTACAAACCAGGATGCAGCAGTGGTGACATGCACTACATGCAGAACTTGATGCTTTACAATATGTACATTTTCATCTTTCTCTTAGACTCACGTGACGTGTCAGAATAGAAAATGAAAAAATAATTTACTTTTAAATACAAGGGGCTGTTTTTGGTTTTTCTTGCATCCATCTCCATGCAGTTTAAACACATTTATGAGTCAATACTTTTCTCAAAAGAAAATAAAAAATAGGAACAATTGTATTTACTTTTTAAAATAATTTTTGAGAGACTCCAGAATAACACCTGGATACTGAAATGAAAGAGCCCAGAATGCAACATGGTGGTTTAAAAAACTAATAAGAATCAAACTGAATGAATTGAAGAATAGAGCCTTGTGGATCGCCTTTCTGTAGAGTTTTAATCAAAACTAAATGCAATACAACTAAAAAGTTACAAGCCATTATCAACACAGATTATATTGACTTTTCTTCTGAATCGCAGATAGAATTGCTGTTATTGTATTCCTGATTTCAACAGGAGCAGATGGTCATATTTTATAAAGGGGCTGCTGTTCACACCTCAGACATCATGTTTCAACAGATTTTTTAAATGATTCAGTTTTTTCCCTTTTAGATATATATATATATATATATATATATATATATATATATATATATATATATGTATATATATACAATAATTATACATTTCCCTTCTCACCCACCGCGGGTGGTTCTTATCCTCTGAGCTCGGGTCCTCTACCAGAGGATATATAGATCTATATATATAGATATATATATCCTCTACCAGAGGCCTGGGAGCTTGAGGGTCCTGCAGTATCTTGGCTGTGCCAAGGACTGCACATTTCTGGACTGAGATGTCTGATGTTGTTCCTGGGATCTGTTGTAGCCACTGCTCCAGTTTGGGGGTTACTGCCCCGAGGGCCCCGATGACCACAGGCACCACTGTGGTCTTCACCTTCCAGGCCCTCTCCAGTTCTTCCCTGAGGCCCTGGTATTTCTCCAGTTTCTCGTGCTCCTTTTTCCTGATGTTGCAATCACTTGGTATTGCTACATCTACCACAACGGCTTTCCTCTGATGTTTATCCACTACGACAATGTCTGGTTGGTTCGCCATTACCATTTTGTCTGTCTGGATCTGGAAGTCCCACAGGATCTTAGCTCTGGCGTTCTCCACCACCTTTGGGGGTGTTTCCCACTTTGATCTCGGGGTTTCCAGTCCATATTCTGCACAGATGTTTCTGTACACTATGCCTGCCACTTGGTTATGTCGCTCCATGTACGCTTTCCCTGCCAGTATCTTGCACCCTGCTGTGATGTGCTGGACTGTCTCAGGGGCCTCCTTGCACAACCTACACCTTGGGTCTTGTCTGGTGTGGTAGATCTGGGCCTCTATTGCTCTGGTGTTTAGGGCCTGTTCCTGGGCGGCCAGGATGAGGGCCTCTGTGCTGTCCTTGAGTCCAGCTTTTTCCAGCCATTGGTAAGATTTACTGATATCAGCCACTTGGGTTATTTGCTGGTGGTACATCCCATGTAGGGGCTTGTCCTCCCATGATGGTATCTCTGGTACCTCGACCTCCGTTCCCTGTTGTCTGAGACATTCACTGAGCACATTGTCTGTTGAGGCTTTGTCCCTGATGTATTTATGGATCTTAGTTGTTTCGTCCTGGACAGTGGTTCTCACACTCACTAGTCCTCTGCCTCCGTCCTTGCGGCTCGTGTACAGTCTCAGGGTGCTGGATTTGGGATGGAACCCTCCATGCATGGTTAGTAGCTTTCTAGTCTTAATATCTGTGGCTTTTATCTCCTCCTTTGGCCAGCTAATTATTCCAGCAGGGTATCTGATTACTGGCAGGGCATAGCTGTTTATCGCACGGATTTTGTTCTTGCCATTGAGCTGGCTTCTCAGGACTTGCCTTATTCGTTGGAGGTATTTAGCTGTGGCTCCTTTCCTTGTGGCCTCATCGAGGTTGCCGTTTGCTTGTGGTATACCTAGGTACTTGTAACTGTCCTCTATGTCTGCTATTGTTCCTTGTGGGAGTGAGACTCCTTCTGTGCGGATCACCTTCCCCCTCTTTGTGATCAGCCGACCACACTTCTCTAGTCCGAATGACATCCCAATGTCAGTGCTGTAGATCCTGGTGGTGTGGATCAGTGAGTCGATGTCTCGCTCACTCTTGGCATACAGCTTGATGTCATCCATGTAGAGGAGGTGACTGATGGTGGCCCCATTTTTGAGTCTGTATCCGTAGCCAGTCTTGTTGATAATTTGGCTGAGGGGGTTCAGGCCTATGCAGAACAGTAGCGGGGACAGAGCATCTCCTTGGTATATGCCACATTTGATGGACACTTGTGCAAGTGGTTTGCAGTTGGCTTCAAGGGTGGTTTTCCACAGCTTCATCGAGTTTGCAATGAAGGCTCTCAGAATCCTGTTGATGTTATACATCTCTAAGCATTCAATGATCCAAGTATGCGGTATTGAGTCATAGGCTTTCTTGTAATCGATCCAAGCCATGCACAGGTTGGTGTGTCGGGTTTTGCAGTCTCGGGCAACTGTGCGGTCTACGAGGAGTTGGTGTTTGGCTCCTCTGGTATTTACACCGATACCCTTCTGTGCCGTGCTCATGTGTTTATCCATGTGTTTGCTTATCTTGGCCGCTATGATGCCTGACATGAGCTTCCAGGTTGTGGAGAGGCAGGTTATTGGTCGGTAGTTGGTTGGGACTGGACCCTTTGATGGATCCTTCTGGATTAGGATTGTCCGCCCTTCAGTTAACCATTCAGGGTGAGTGCCACTTTGTAGCAGCTGGTTCATTTGGGCTGCCAGTCGCTCATGGAGAGCAGTGAGTTTCTTTAGCCAGTAGGCATGGATCATGTCAGGCCCTGGTGCTGTCCAGTTTTTCATACCTGAGACTCTTTCTTGAACATCTGTCACAGTGATGGTTATATATATATAACCATCACTGTGACATATATATATATATATATATATATATATATATATATATATATATATATATATATATATATCAGAACATTCTGTTACCTTTAATAATTTAACATAGAATGCAAATTTTATGTATTTTCTTCAGAACTTCTGTAAGGCTGAAAACAAAAACAAAATAAGATAACAACCACATAGAATAAAGTAACGTTTATCTCCATGGAGTTCTGATGATGATCCGAGAGGGGAGGCCGGTGGAGCTGAGAGGGGAGGCTGGTGGAGCTGGAGGCTGGTGGAGCTGAGAGGGGAGGCCGGTGGAGCTGGAGGCTGGTGGAGCTGGAGGCTGGTGGAGCTGGAGGCTGGTGGAGCTGGAGGCCGGTGGAGCTGGAGGCTGGTGGAGCTGAGAGGGGGAGGCTGGTGGAGCTGAGAGGGGGAGGCTGGTGGAGCTGGAGGCCGGTGGAGCCGGGAGGGGAGGCTGGTGGAGCTGGAGGCTGGTGGAGCTGGAGGCTGGTGGAGCTGGAGGCTGGTGGAGCTGAGAGGGGGAGGCTGGTGGAGCTGAGAGGGGGAGGCTGGTGGAGCTGGAGGCCGGTGGAGCCGGGAGGGGAGGCCGGTGGAGCTGAGAGGG